ATGCAGCTGCTACAAATCATGGATCTAGACTTCTAGGGCATGTTTTTCACGTAAAGTTGCTAACTTTACGTGCATGCATGGCTATAAAGGCTTCATATGACCAAAATAAGCTCTTAATGAGGTTCTAGGCTCAATAGGGACTTTAATCACAACCACCACCAATACTTTATACTTCTAGCATGCCATGAGTGTCCAGATCTGAGGTATAACTTGGCCACAAGGCCTAATCATAAGGGATTTGGGGTTTTTAGGCTTAGAAACCACAAATTAGGAACAACATAGATCTATACGATCAATAAGAAAGGTATGGAATTTAATACCCGAAAAGATGATCAATAGAGTGTGTATTCTAGATCTACTTCCTCTTCCTTGAACTCTCCAACTTTCTCCTTCTCCTTCTTACTCCAAGGATGCCTTCACAAGCAATAAACACACACACACACACACTCACTAAGAAAATAGGTAGGGTTTGATAAGGAATACTCGGAGGGTGATGGAGGCTGAGATGGGGGCTATAAGGATGTTTAAATAGGTTGCAAACCCTAAGAATTAGGGTCTCCTCCTGATTGGCCTACTCGCCGAGTCCATGCGTGGACTCGCCGAGTAGAGCACTTAAAGCCCGTATCCAACTTGACATCTACTCGACGAGTTAGGGCTACAACTCGCCGAGTATCTCTTCCTAAAAGAACATTTGATCAAAATAAATACGTACCAGGAACGGGGCGTTACACAATGTGTCGACCGAATTCCCTCCTCTACCCTGGAAATCACCTCCACCACCGTCCAACTGCATCGCCTCTCTTATCTACATCGCCCCTCTTTGTAGTTTACTTTGAGAAACGCCAAAGAACATCCTTGTTGGTTTACCTCTCTGTTTGTCTCCCTTCCTTGTCATTTCCTACCAATGTTGTTCGATGTATCACCAATGCTATTTGATGTATTGGTTGTTGGAAAACTAGGCGATCATCCAATCCAAGCTCTTTTTCATACAAATTTGATTAACTTTAAGGTAATTTTGAACTTTGTGGATGAAATTCAAAATTTTAGGTCACTGTTATGTGTTAGATGATAGAACTAGCTATTAATTGATGAAATTTGATTAACTTTGAGGTAATTTTGGATGGTATTGCTATGAATATAATTTGGGTAGTGAAGAAGAAGGTAGTAATGCGACACTTCCTGAAAGGGTAAAAGTCTATCTCCTTTCAATTTGAATTGAAGTCTTAATTTAGTCGATTAAAATAATGAACAAAAGGTTATATACCCAAACAATTTATATGATTAGACATTTGCTTGTGGCAACATGGATTGGATTTTTGCTTAAACTACAATAAAGTGTTAGTTTAATACAAAAAGGTTTAGGTAACAATTATTTATTGAAGTTGTTGATTTATAAACCTATTTAATAAGAGTAGCAAAGTTGGTTTAATCTGTATAGCCAGTCTGATATCTCCTTATAGAAAGGGTCGTGGTGCATTTCGTGCAATGTTGACAAATGCAAATTTTATAGAGGCAATGCTTCTTTCTGTTTTTTATATAAAATTATTCTATGTTTATACAAAAAAGAAGAAGCTAAATTTATCGATGTGTAAATACACGGGTGTTCATGAACGTGCCTCTTGAAGTGTGTGAAAGAAGAGATCCTAAAGGTATTTACAAGCTAGTAAGATCTAGGAACGATTAAAGGTGCCCGTTTTACTAGACTCACCAATCTTTAATGAAAGAAAATGATCATGATTCATGGGGTATGCTTTTTATTTAAATTATTAACTCAATTTTTTGATTATGGGAACTCTCATTCATATAATCTTGTATAATTGTAGGTTCTACTAGAATAATTCCTATATTGGTAAAAAAGGGTAAAGTATGCTGCTATTTTCAACTAGTTTTAACACATGACTTTTTTCTTACAGTTTGAAAAGGACAAGCTGTTATTAAAACTTGAATCTGCTCATTATGGTAAACCTTGGAATGAGAACAGTTGTGACTTGAATAAGGTGTAATGAGTTTTACATACATCCAAGATTTTCTATTTCATGAAATCTTTAAAAGTTATTAACCATATCAAAACCTTTCTGGATGTTAGTTTATTGAAAAATTATGTCTCAAAAATTCAAGAATTAGAAGGAGAATTGATGCTCACACGAAGATTAAATACTTCAAAACGCACTGAACTTATTGATTTCTTTGATTTAGATGAAAGTGTTATGAACCTAAAAAGTAATTTATTTCATGGATCTGATTCTAAACCTGTTGAAGTTGCTGGTAAAGCTCTTATAAACTATTTTTACTAAACTCTTCTTTATTTATTATTAGTTCATAAAGTCAATTTACAATCTTATATGTTTGTAGGTAATCCTGAAGACGAAGAGAAAGAGCTAGAACATTGTTCCTTACAAGAAAAACTTGATATTGAGCTCAAAGATTTGGAAAAAAAGCTTGAACAAAAGGAGGTATATGGTTTCATCTACTTCCATTGTACTTATATGTCAAGTTATAAAAGCTGAAGTTTTTTTATTAAATCTTCTATGAATAGACAAAAGGCTGAAATGAAGCGGGTTGCGGGCGGTGATACATCTGTACTTAAACAACATTATGAGAAGAAAGTTTTGGACTTGGAACAAGAACAGAGAGTTTTGCAGGTTTGTGCTTCATTCTCTAGTTATTTTTAATCAGAAAGTTTATAAATTTTCTCACTTATTTCTTTTTGATAATATAAAAGAAAGAAATTGAGCAACTTAGGAACAACCTTGCAAATATTTCCACCACTTCTGATGACAGTATACATAACTTGAAGGAAAATTATCTTTAGAAGTTGAACTTTTTGGAAAAGTGAGTCCATTTTCTTTAAACTGGATGGATGTTTTTAACAATATTAGAGTAATAAGTAATTTATATACAAATATCTGAATTTTAGGTTATGGAGCTGAATTGTGTGGTACATTTTTGCAAGGTCATTTTGGTCATTTTCGTGCTTTTTTCGTACATTGTGTAAAATTGGACCTTTTGTAGACTAAGATTGAACAAAAAGATGGAATTTGTCCTACACCATGGGATATGGATGGTGAAGTAGTTCCATACCTAGAAAAAAAAAGTTAGAACTGTTGGGTTTTGAGCGTTCTAACACTTCCTAAGTGTACATGCAACCCTAATAAACCTTGGATCTATGTTTGTCTAAAATACATACAAAATCTGTTTTCCAAGGTTTATAACTTATCTAGCATGGCATGGGGAACTTTTAAACATAAAAAAACTAGATGAATTACATACCTTTTGATGAGTGTTGATTCCTTGGAGTTTGAGAGCCAAGCACCAATAATATGAATGCCTCAAGTGGAAATCACAAATCACCACAAACTTGGAAAACCTTATGAAAGTGTATACTTTGCACTAGAAATCAGCCACCACTTCTCACACACACTAGGGTGTCAATTCATGCAACATAGGCTTGTTTATATAGTGTAGATGATTAGGATAAACCCTAATAACCCATATCTTTTCCTCTTCCAAGGATCCATGGGTTAAAAGCTCCATGGATCATCCATGGACTTCCAAATAAGCTAAGCCCATTCCCAAATGAGTGTTAGCCCACACCATATAAATATAATAGCCCATGATTTAATTAGTCTTCCTTTTAATCACTAAATCAATTCATAATTAATTTAAGATTAAAACTTAATTAAATAACATGACTTTATATTAATATATTATAACTTATAATATATTAATAAAACATAAGTATACAATTCTCATAATATTATCCATAGATCGTTTGGGTGAAGTGCAACCCAAATGGATCATGCCGGGTCGGGTCAAATATATACCAAATAAGTTATGAACTTAGACACCTTATCCAATAGGAACTAGAATAATAATATCATAGTTGCATAAGTCTTTGGAGCGTGTCATAATACTTGATACATTTCCTAAAACAACCTTTGATGTTTTCACATTAGTATTGAGTACCTGGTGGCTGTAAGTTCCAAACTATTTTATATTTTTATATATATGATTCTTAATATTCAAATCATTATTTTCCAATCTTTCATTTTTTGTTTATATAATTAAATGAACTTCCTGTAGTTATCTCATGCGCGGATCTTGCTTTAGCAGATGTAGGGATTTAGTTGTTTAAATTCAAGCTTGTGTTTTTGGATTTTGGTTTCATATTCCCTTCAAAAATTTTACAACTTTTTTAATCTAACACTTGATTACTTTTGGTTGTTATTGAGTATCGAAAAATGAATTTTTTTGGTATATAAACATTGTTCTTTATAGTCTTTTGAAGTATGTTTTAATTTGAATACTGTCAGTTACACAAGGCATTTGTGTCTATACGGGTCTTTTCTAGTTTAATATTTCAAAATTATCTTTCACTCTATACACTTTGATTAATAATGCTTTTGACTTTTAACAACATGTCAAAGTTGGTAGTTCCCATCATATAAGATTGAGAGAAAACCTAGAAACGGAGGATTTGGGCAATAGAGGTATCACATAATTTTTTGGTTGCATATTCTCATATAATAGTGGCAATAATGAATAATGTCATTTGATCCATTACTTGTGATTAAAAGGGTGAGATTAAAATTTGAACACAAAAGCGACAAAGTATGTAACTAAATTGATGTATATGAATGACAGGTTTACAAGTTTCTTTTCACTCATTTTTCTCCCCAACTCTTAAACACACACATCATTTTGCAATATTTAGCAATTCATTAGTTTCTTTTCAAAAACTTCATAGGAGTATTGGGATTCTCTTAAGAACAATGAGTACTTCTCTATGGAAGGTCTTTTGGATCTAATAAAACATGTATCTATATTTTTTACTGTTGATACTTTATTCATACACACAAAGATTTTAGAGGATTCTTCTACTTTTTGAAGTACATTAGTTGATGTGTTAACTTCATGTACTTCTAAGAATTGCTTTTATGGTTTAGCATTTACGATTCCAATAAAAAAAATTTCAAAGAATATTTTTTTTACTAAAACGAATGATTATAGCAGGTAGATCTCGAGTTGTAACAATCGAGTCAGAAGCTGAATTTAACACCTTACTTCGCAAGATTCAAGGTAAGTTATGTGTTTATAATGTGACTATATATGTTATACACACAATGTGTATACTTATGTATGTTTATAATGTGACTAGATGAATCCTTGCCAACAGTCTTTTACTTCACTGCTATCTGGTGTGGGCCATGTAAGACTTTTATTTCTCTCTCTCTCTCTCTCTCTCTCTCTCTATATATATATATATATATATATATATATATATATATATATATATATATATATATATATATATTTGTTTTTTTTAATGTAGGCTTGTTTGTTATAGGAATTGAGTTCTTGAAAGTACTCTTCAATTCATTTTGTTTTACACTTGATTTAAAGTATATATATTTCTTGTTTCACAGGTAGGTTTGTATCTCCTCTTATTGGAGAATTGAGTGAGCAATACACTAATGTCACCACTTATAAGATTGGTATCGATCAAGTAAGCATGCCTTCATACTTCTAAGCGTTTCTTTCATTTCATATATCTCTCGGATTTTTGTTTATACAAAAGACGTTAATGCTCTTTTCATTCTCATCGTCGAAAAAGTCCGGAAATGTTAATGAATTTTTATTTATAAAAGATATGTAAAGAAGAGGTTTCTTGAGGTACAATTTTTAATTATTAGTTTTTATTTTATATGTTTGGATATGTTCAATTGCAGGAAGGTATGGGGGATGCATTGGCAAAGTTAAATATTCCTGCTATGGTAAACTACTTATGCTTCCCATTCAACATATGTCATTTTTAATTTAAGTTTTCAATTTTACACATTTAATCCCTTAGTAATGAATATATTCAAAATTGGCCCATGTACTCGTAAAATTGTCAATTTTGGTCCCTATAAATGTTATACATGCTCACATATAGACATGTGTTTATATTGTAAGTGCAGCCTACATTTTTTACATTTACTGTTTATACAGCTGCAGATTTAAAAGAATCCAGATTTAGAAACATCCAAATACCAAATACTCAAAAGGACTACAACTTATGAGGTCTGTTGATCCTTTGATCTAGAAATTATGCTAATTCAAGAAAATATAATTTAATCTGCTTAATCAAATTTACTAAAAGTGATTATCCATGTTCGAAAATACAACCCCTTTGTAATTGTTAATCACATTCAATGATGTAGGAGGGCGAGTTTCCAATTATTCCCATTTTTTGACCAAACTTTACTATCTTGCCACCGTTAACATATTTAACTTGGGTCATCAAGGTGTTCTATTTTTGTTACTATTGAAAGGTATTTAATACATTTTAGTGGGATGTTAATGATGGGTTTTGGTCATAAGAACATCCTATGTGCTCATACAAACCCTAATGCTTGGATCTAGGTTTCTCTATTGTACATGCAAGTTATCCAAGACTATAAACCCTAATTCTAGCATACAAGTAATCATATTAACATAAGAATGGGTTTAAGACTTTACCTTGATTGTTATGTAGCAATAACAATCCAATTCCTCCTTGTATTGACTTTAGAAAGCTTAGAGTCACAAATATCACTCCTCTAATGGTTCACAAACACCAAGAGCAAGAGGATGAAGAGGAGAGAGGATGGAGGATGCCGTAAAACGTGTGAAACCCTAGAAGGATGCTTAGCCACATTTTTGGGTCATAAGGGATCTATATATAGTTAGGCTATTAGGGTTATCTAACAAGGAAACCTTAAATTGGATACTTAAGCCCTAAGCAACCCATAGATTCCTTTCCTTAAGGCCTTGGACGATTTCCTCATGGGCTTTCCCATAGAATTCGTCCACTCCTTAATATAAGGCAATCCATAGCCCAAATTGCAATTATCTTATAATTACAATTCCAGTCCCTTAAGTTTAATTAATCTCTTTTAGTCACAAAACTAATTACCAATTAATTATTGACTAATATTAATTAAACAATATGATTTCTCCTTTAATATATTATTCTCATAATATATTAATAAATCATATTTAATCATTTCTCTCCATAATTCATCCTATCAAGTTGCTTTGGTGAAGGCAACCCAAAAGGACCATGCACCATCGGGTCAAGTACATACCAAAATAGTTATGGACTTAGACACTAATCCAACAGTTAATAGATGGAAATTTACATAATTTGCAGGTATAGGTTTAGGAAGAACACGAGAGAGGAAAAAACTAGGCATTTTATTAATCTTTTAGCTGTAGGTTGTGTATGCATGTGTACGGCTGGAGATATGTGGAAAGATGGATATTAAAGCTGCAAAAATGGAGGCTAAACATCAGAGAAAATTAAGAATTATGGTACTTTGAAATCAAATATTGATTAACATTAAACTTTGATATTTGATTATTTAGGATTTTTTTTTAGTAAACTTTAATTGTTGATGTTTTTTGTATTTTAAGGTTAATGGTTGGTTTTGGAGACTATACTTATTAATTTTTTTTTTGATATTTAAATATTAATGTTTGTTTTGGGGTTATATAATTTATTTATTGTTTTTTGGTATTTTTGTTTTAGATTGGTAACAAAAAAACAAAAAAAAAAATGGTACGACATTAAATTTGCGAGGGTTCAGCAACAAACTAAAGAAACCCTGGTATCATACATTTGAGAGGGATCAACGACGGACTACAAAATCGAGTATCACTATAAAAATCAGATAACATACATTTGCGACGAATCAGCAACGGAGTATAAAAGCAAATATGGAGATTTGAGACAGATCAGCGACAGAATAATGTTATTAAGTTTGGTCGCTAAATGTCCTAAATAAGTGTAGCAATTAACCATTTGTGATGGATAATCTGTCGCTAAATCGTCACAGAGAAAAATTAATCTATCGCAAAATCCCTAGCTGACACATTAGCCACGCTTAAATTTGCTAAGGAGTTTGGTAGTTGCTGATCCGTCGCAAACAATCATTAGTAACAGAATAGCGACGGATTGGCCCGTCGCTAAAATCCTTGTTTCTAGTAGTGATATCACCATTGATAACCACTTGGGTTGTGGTGACTTGGTAAGACATGTGGAAGATATGGTGGATAACCTATTGATTCATGTTCAAATCCTGACACTACTAAGCCCTTGTGGCCATGGAGGTTCGTCTGCAGTGACTCCAGGGTATGAGGCAAAGCCTCATGTTTGCAGTGGAGGATTAGTCGGTGCGCGAAAGCTGGCCTGGAAACCCTCGTTAGGGAAGTTCCATTTCCAAAAATATATCACCATTGATATATATTTTTATATTTTTTTTTATTAAAATGATAGATTGAATTTGGTTGGATAAAGTTGTTAATGGGTATAAAAAATCTAAGGTTGATTGTATAAAAAGAGAGAAATTAATATTTTAATAGATAGTTAGGTTGAGTTTGATTATAAATAGGAATAGTTTATAGGCTATTCAACCAATTGTTTGTTCCCCGGAAAAAGTGAGTGAAAATATTCTTAGCCTTGTCTTCAATTGGGTGAAACATAGAGGGCAGTTTGGAGTTTGGAAATTGTAACCGAGTAACTTGGTGTTGCTTTTCTCTAAATATTATGTAATCTTATCATTGGTGGTTTAGGTAGTGGGTTTTTTTCTAAAAATTCATTGTTTCAAAAAAAAAAAAAAAAAAACATAAAATGTAATATTAAAATGAAAATTATATTTAATTTTATTTATACATAAACCATAAATAAAAATCATGATTTTAATAGATATTTTCTTATCTTGTTATTTACACGGACCGCTTGTTATTTATTTCAAAATTATTTAGCCAATATTATTCGCAAGGCGCCGACGTATGAAGATTAGGGAATACGAAACAGTTCAGCCAATATTTGTAACTCATATTTTTTCTTTCTTCATCATTATCAGGGGTTTAAGGGTTTTCAACCAGTAATCGTCTTTGCTTCTTCCTCTCAAGGTTCTCGCAGTTTGTTGGTGAGCTCCGATTTGAATAGTTAATTTTAACCTGCTTACTTATGGTTTTACTATTACATGATCAAAGTTCATCGCCCTTTAAACACTCCATAAAAGGGTAAAACAGAAACGATTTTTATTATTGTCCTTTAAAGACTCTATAAGAAAAACTAACAATGATTGTTTATTATGGGTATCAGGGAGATTGGTGAGATGGAGAACAGTATTCTCTCCATATATGATGACGTCCTTCCTGCTCATACTTCAGGTTTTATTCATTCCTTAGACTTATGCTTAAACCCTTTTTGGTTTTGAGTAGCTATAATTTATCAAGATCATATATTCTTAACAAACTGAAGGTCTGATTATTAAAACAATGTCACCTTATTCTGCATAATTAACAATAATCTTTGATCAAGATTCCATCTTTTCTCGCAAAAATATGTGTAAACGTTTATAGAATATATTTTGATTTTCCCCAAAAAGATGTGACCGTTTTAGTTGCGAAAAGAACCGAGGTTATAGTTTGTAACTCCTTTGAGTTTTCATGATTCCTAGTGTCTTTTAAGTGCTTAACTTGAGAAAAATGTTGTTTTCTTTTTCTTAATTTTAATCAGATTTACAAAGGGTTGATGAGAAGATCACTGCTAAGTGTGAGAAGTTTCTTCAAGACTACAAACAGCGATTTTTGCAAACGGAAGCCTTATGTGAATATCTGCAACAGCGAGAATTTGAAATAAAGAAACAAGAACAGAAGCTTCTAAAGGACAAGAGAAAGTTAGAACTCAAGAAGAGAGCGGTATAGGGTGTTGTTTGCCATAAAACTTGTTTCTTGCGTTTATCTTCCTTATATTTCAATATAGTTAATGATTTAATTCACTTCTAGAAAGAATGTTGCATAATACAAACTTTTGTTTAGAGATGTATTTACTTGATCAACATTTTCTTGAATTCTTCTATGTTTACCATTTTAGCGAGAAGTGTCGTCATGCAAACAATTGGTCAACGAATGTTACTCTTCGAGAAAAGCAGCAGAGGGTCTAAAGGTAATAACAAAAAAGAAAAAAAAAAGCATGTTTATACGGATATCAGGAAATAATCAAATGTCATATATTGTTATATGCAGAGGGAAATAGACATGCTTCATAAAAGAAGAGCTGAATTGGAGGACAAACTCAAGGCTGAGAATTTTGAAGTTCTTCAAAGTGAGATCATGCAACTTGAAATGGCTATACAGGTTATAGAAGACGATGAGCGTGAGCCTATAGACCTTGAGGAAAAGTTGAAGAATTCACAGAGCAAGTTGATACAAAAGGATGAACAACTTCAAGAGTTGAAAGAACAACTTCAAGAGTTGAAAGATCGGGTTAACACTGTTTGTTTGGCAATACAGAGAAAAAACGATGAGATGCAAGACGCACGTCAAGAACTCATCCATGTAAGTATTGTGTCACATTAATTAATCTTTTTTATGAAGAATACGAAAATCTGAATCACTTTCTTCACAGGGATTGGAGATGTATCCTTATTGTTCATACGTAGGAATCAAGACAATGGGCGTTGTAGATTCGATGCCTTTCTATTTTGGGTGTCATTTAACCAAAAAAACAAGGAAGGAAACAAAGAAGAATCCAACCAACTTATTGGTTAAATGCAGGAAGCTAGTTGAGGATCAAAACTGGCATCCCTTCAAAGTTGGATCGGATGAAAAGGTATGAATTTGCATTGATCTAATTTTTGTTTTATCATTTAAATCAGATAGATGTGTTGTAGAAAATGATTGAGAAACACATGCATGCATGCACGTTAATTGAGTAGGAGATTATTGATGAAGAAAATGAGGAGATGGTTAGGTTGAAGGCGGAGTGCAGTGAGGAACAGTATCATGCTGTTGTGACAGCGTTAAAGGAGAGAAATGAGTATGAGATAAATGGGAAACATCCTGTGCAAGAGCTATGGAACTACAAGGAAAAAAGGAAAGCGAGTTTGAAAGAAGGCATAGACTGCATCCTCGAAGCATGGAAGATTCATAAGCATCAGTAGGAAATGTAGTAAATGTTGGATTGTTGGTTACCACTTTGAACTAACTTTTTGCATATATATATATTCGGCATGTTTATGGTGCACACGATGATCTTGTAGATGATCAGATGTGGTTGATAATTGTCTTTCGCATAAATATGTTTGGTTAAAGAAATTGCCCTTTGATTAGAATTTAAATACGTTATTTATAATGTAAATAGCGAGTGTGAGATATTTGAACAAGCAGTTGGAACATTCAAAGTGGCTTTGTAGAAGTTTTTTCAAACAAAAAAACTTCTAAAATTCTAAAAAACTATTGGATGAGTTATTATTTAATTTTTAATTTTTTAACAAAGCTTTTTCTAAGAGTTTGTAAATTTAACCCTTTTTTCCATAAGCAATTTCAATGATTGTTTGGATCCTATACGTTTCAGCAAATGGCAAACAATTGCACGTTATAATTTTAAGAAGAAAACACATTTTCACTTAATGAGTCTAACTTTGTACTTCGTAGTTTTCACTAATACAAATATTTTAATTCAATTTATATTTTAAACATTCCGATGTTTTAATTCAAGTTATATAGTATTAAACATTCCAAAAATGAGTTATATATTTTAGGTCTCAATCCCACAATTTTCAAGTTGTTCCTAAAAGATAATAATAACAAATGTACTAACTATAAAGGGCTATACCGGCCTAACACTATCAGGAGTTCACCAAAGGGCTACGGATTGGTGTCTCTTAGCAAAATATTAAGGGTTCAAGTGTTATTGTAAACAAAATGTATATATTTAGGAATAGTATAGTTCATGTATGCATGCGTAAGCCGTTCCAAAAAAAACTATAACCGATAAGGTCATTTATGGGTATGTACACAAAACACTAATATTCGCATTTTAAGACTTATTAGTATACTTGTCAGGAGTCGTTCCCTGGCCGTCCACACCAGCCTAGCTACCACGGTCGTGGTGGTTCATGGCGTTGAGGACGAAGAAAAACGACTTATCAAAACCTTTGGCATTTAGTCTTTTTGAATATTTTTTGTACTATTATAAAATGGCTACAATGTATTCTCCTATAAATACAAACCATTTTACTACAATTAGTTTTGTACCATTTCTTTCTGAGTAAATTACACGAATGGTCCCTATGGTTTAGGGTAATTTGAGTGTTTGGTCCCTAATTTATTTTTTTAACTCGGAAGGTCCCTACTATTTGTTTTTGTTACACGCTTGGTCCCTGTTTTACCTAAAAAAACAATTTTGCCTTGATTTTTTATAATATTTAAATAAACACACCCCAAACCCAACCCCCGTCTCTTTACCTTACCTATCCCACAATTTTTTCCTATTTAAATAATAGTTTTTTTAGGTAAGACAGGGATCAATCGCGTAACAAAAACAAGCAGTAAGGACCAAACGCGTAACAAAAACAAACAGTAGCGACTTGTCGAGTTAAAAAAATAAGTTATGGACCAAAGACGCAAATTACCCAAAACCATAGGGACCATTCGTGTAATTTACTCTTTCTTTCTACCTTTACTATACAAACCAAACAACCATCAAACTATCAAACTCTTACCATGGAACAATTTGAACAACCATCAAACTTCCAAATCAAACGACCTTGGGAGGAAAAGGAAGAAACCACATTAGTTGGTGCTTGGATCTTGGTGTCCGATGACCCAAAGTTTATCGGGATCTTGGTGAACTTTTGTCAAAATGGTGTCATATATGAGGCCAAAAATAAACCGAGTTCAACCGCATTTACAAGGAACTTAAAACCGCACATCCAAATATGAGTAACGAATCGGAGGTTTCTAATGTAATTCTTATTTATTATTTTTTTTTCAAGATTTAAGAAAAAATTGGAAGGTTTTTAAAAATATCCATAGTTTCGCAAATAGAGAGCGAAAAATCGCTAAATGGTCTGAGAAATCATTAAGACTGGAGGGTGTGGTCTCGACACTAGCTTGGCAGCCTTGGCGACAAACACCGCCCCACAGCTTTTGGCGGCATCCTCCACGACATGTAGGTCTCTCTCTCTATGTGTGTGTGTGTGTCAAGTATACACCAAGTTGATTTATAATTAAAAAATGAAAAAAATCTAGGTATGTTGCATATTAATTTGTCGGGAGTTAGGATAGATACTTCTAATTGAGTTGATGTACATTACGCATACGCACCAAGTTAATAAACAATTTTGATGGCATCTTTTATTACATTTTTGATAACATGATTTCATCGTTTTTTACCCAATTTATTTCTTTTAAATAAAGCTAATTTGATGATATTTGGCTTTTCAAAAAAAATAAAAAAAACCTTAGTTTTTATAGTTAATGAGCTAAATATAGAATTTAATCCATAGTTTTCAAAAAATAATAATAATAATAAAACCTTAGTTTTTATAGTTAATGAGTTAAATATAGAATTTAATCCATACGAAACGAAATCCAATCCGCTCTCGAATGTTATTATGAAGTTGGAGAATACGAAAAGTCACTCAAGCCATATACTCAAACACATTTAATTTTCTCCTTCATTCTCAGATTTTCATGAACTGATAATTTTCTTCGGCTCTTCCTCTCAAGGGTTCTTGCAACTTGCATGTTGGTGAGTTTCCATGTTTAATCTTTAATATTAATTAAGCGCTGCTTACAGCTTACTTATTATTATTATTTTTAACTATCGTAGGGCGAAAGTTCCTTCTTTTCCCATTTCAAAAGGGGTAAAGTTCACTCCAAATGATCTTTATTTTTGACTTTCAGCGTTTTGAATAAGAACAAAAAATAACCCGGAATTGTTGTTTGTGCTTGTGCATGTTAGGGTGGATTTGATGGAGAGCACCTACAATGAAAATATCAAATCCCTAAAAAGTATACACTCAAAATATGATGAGATTCTTCATGTTCATACCTAATATAATGTCTTTGAATTTTCAAAATTCCCCACTCTCATAAAATGCCTATCTAAAAAGTGTTGTTATGTTTTTCTTAAATTTTGTTTAGATATGAAAACGGTGATTGAGAATATAACTGAGGATTGTGAGAAGTTTCTTCAAGACTACTTCAGGTTTGATTCATTCGTCATTAGACTTAATTAATAGTTTAACCTTTTTTTTTTTTTTTTTTTTTTTTTTTTTTGTTTTTGTTTTTGAGAAGCTATATATGCTTTATCAAAACAAACCATGCATACTGTCACAAACGGAATATCTGAGTACCAAAAGAATACCAACTTATTTTGCATTATATAATTAATCTTTGATCAATAATATTCTATGACCTTGTATCCAATGTACAAACACACCACTGAGATGTGGGCTGGCTGCCGTTGAAAAGAAAATACTTTGTGATGATGAAATTAATGTGTCCAATGTGAGCAAAAGTTATAGATATATTTTGACTTACCAAATAAAAGACTGACCATATTGATAGCTATTTTCATAAACTTTTTAATTTTGTTTAAAATATGAATCTTCCATGCATTCTTTGAGAATGCAGTCTATGCTTATGAATCTTCCATGCATTCTTTGACTTACCTTTTGAACTTTGAAATTGAAAGTCAATATGTTTGATATAATACTAAAAGTCAATTACGTTTTGTTTAGTTAAAACTTGATCGAGAGTAAGAGGCAATATGGTCGGAATTAAATATTTTGGACCATCCCTTTATCCATCATGCAACTAAACACTTGAATCCTAAAGCGTCGCTCAAATAACTTAGCGAATTCAATAAGAACATTCACCACAAGTTTCCTAAAAGGCATTGCATAGCATTATGTTATAGCAATCTAATGTTATTAATATTTACAAAAAAAATCAATTTGAAATGACTGTTTTGACTAAAGATGGCAAAAAAGTCGTACCGATCAAGAGTTGAAAGATCGGGTCATTAAACACTGTTTGTTTGGCACTCCAGAGAAAACATGCACTAATTCGTTTTCTTTGATTTTTTTCCATGTGCTTTTGAATATGATTTCTTGATTGGGGACATTATATATTTCTACTTTTGTGAATGCCTATATATTATAGATAAAGAAAAGAAAGATACTGCTAATTTCACTTACTATTTTTCGAAGAATTAAACAAAAATTAATAGGTTTCCAGAAATAACCATGAATTTCACAATTAAGAGTGAAAAATCACTAAATGGGCATAGAAATAACTAACTACGATTGTGAAATTGATTATAAGTGGTCCCCCATATAAGGCTAATTTCTTTTTCTTTCATTTCTTTTTTCATTTTTACACTATTTAAAGTTCTTAGTTTGCTATGAAAATGATCTTTGAAGTTCTTCGTTTTCTTAGGTTAAAATTTAAATATATCGTTTTTTTCCTTTTGGAATTGGCAATTATACTTGAAGATTCTATCAAAAAAATTCAAAGAAATGTTTTTTTTTTCCACGGATATTTGCAAGTCAAACCTGTGATTATTTTTCTTCTTAAAAAAGACGTCTTTTGGTGATTTTTTTTGAGCTTTTACAATCGTTTGGTGTTTTTGGTTGGGCTTTTTTCGCCGGTTGTTGATTTTTGAACCATACAAATTGATAGCTATTTTCATAAACTTTTTAATTTTGTTTAAAATAGGGAAAATAATAAATGAAATAGTCATGATTATGATTTGACATTTCGTTTTATTAATATTTAATGATTACTGTAATAAACTTACATGATATATTCGGTTTCACTAATTTAGATCGATTCATTTGCCATGAGTTTATGTACGGAAAAAGTGAAGTTTCCATTCTTGTATACGAATCCCCACCTTTCAATAATTCAATTTCATGGCGTCGTATGAATTCCTGTCAAATGCTCATTATTACCCCTCTTTTAATTTATTTCTTCATCTTTCTCAGGTTTCAGATTTTTCAACTGTAAATGGTTCTTGCAATTTTCTGGTGACATTTGGTTTCTACTCACTACAAACTCCAAATGATCTCTATTTTTGTCCTTTAAACACTTGAAATTTAAAGAATAAATAACCAAGATTTTTGGTTGCTCGTGTTAATTAGGGAGATGGAGCATATGGATAGCACCTCCGCTGAAAACACCACATCCCTAAAATCAAGAATTCTCTCGATATATGATGAGGTCTTTCATGCCCATACTTCAGGTTTAAATCATTCACTAATCTAATTGTTTAACCATTTTTTATATAAGGATCTATCCATCTCTAAACAATGCTAATGTTGAGATCAATAATGTTGTGTTTTTTTTTTTTTTTTTTTTTTTTTTTTTTGTATAAACATTTGGTTTGGTTGAAATTGGTCAAACTTTTGTAGTAGTGATCATGTATGGTTGATTCTAGTTAAATATGGTCGGTTTATTTCAACTGATTTAGATTAAATTTTACTTTTGTAGTAGTGTTTAATTATATTAAAAAAAATTAATATGAACTCACCAACGAACGATTATGCCATATGTTACACTTCCAATTTGTGGTCCATTGACCCAATCAACAATAGATTGGCATACCTCATAAATATTTGTTTTGTGTGTTTTATTTAATCTTTTATGAAATTGTTGGGTTGAAGCTATACTAGTAAACATAGTAATAGAGGGATTGAAATTGAAAGAAAAAAAATGGATTTATTGGAAACACATGTTTTAGAATTCCATTGTATTTTATTCCTAGAGGACAACAGAGAAAAGATAATTTTTTTTTTTTTTTTTTTTTTTTTTATCTCTATAGCTCCTTACGACTTAAGTACATCAATAAGTTCCCAACGAGCTTCTTGCAATTCCTTGTTTTTTTGTCTCTATAGCTGAACGAAAAATGGTGTCCTGGTGATTCTTTTCTTCAATTTGTTCATTCTTCTGTATCAATTTGGTTTGTAAAATCTTCATCCGTTCTTGAAGGTCTATACAATCATCATCTTGTATAGCCTGTAATGCAGTTTCAAGTTTTGTAATCTCACTTTCTAGACTCTCATAATTTTCAGTTTTCAGTTGGGATTCCAGTTCAGCTCTTCTCTTTTGAAGGATCATGAGTTCATCTTGAAAATTTTGGATATGCATCATATTAGCTCCATTTCTAAAATTCTTACAAATTAAACATGATCCTGGGTTTTTGGTATAAATTACCGTTACACCCTCCGATAGTCTCTTAGAAGTGCAGCTTTCGTTCAACAATTGTTTGCAGGATGACAATCTTTCTCGCTAATTTACATGAGTAATCAAGAAAACGTTAATACATGATCGATAAAGTAAATTAACACAAGAAATTACTTAACAAGATTCATATTATGTGTATACCACTCTCTTCTTGAGTTCTTGCTTTGATTTTGCCTTTTGAATCTTAAGTTATTTTTTTGTTATTTCGTATTCTTGTTGTTGCAGAGATTTGCTTGAGGCTTCCATTTGCGAACAACTATCTTCATAGTATTGAAGAAACTTCTCACAGTCAATAGTTATCTTCTCATTCACCTTTTTTATATCTAACCAAGATTAATTAACAATAAAAAAGAAATTGTTAATGGAAGATTCAAAGTTTCAAACACCTTTCCGATTTCAAACGTACATGTAAAACTTACGCTATTTTATTTTTTATATAACGAGTTCAATATTTACCATATTATATAAAAAAAGCCAACACATAATTATTGTAACAACGAAAAGGATTAATGTCAATAAACATTTCCAACTGTTGCAAACATCTATACATATCTATCAACTATTGTTAACAACAAAATAAGTGGGCATTTATTAGATGATCAGATCTTCAATTTGTTTTTCTTCTAATGAACAAAAATTAAAAAACAAAATAAGTGTAATGAGTGAAGAAGGAAACCTGAAGTATGAGCGTGAAAGACTTCGTCATATTTGGAGAGAATGCTCGCTTTTAGGGATGTCGTCTTCTCATCATCGGTGGTGTTTTCCATCTTCTCTATCTCCCTGAAACAAAATACAAACAATCCTTGTTTATTTTTTATTTTTCAAGTGTTTTAGGAACAAATAATCAAAGATCATTTGGAGTTTATAGTGAGTAGAAACCAAACTAAACATGTCGCGATTTTTCCCTTTGAAATGGGAAGCTAGCTAGAGTCGGATCGAGCTCCATTTGATAGTGAACTTAGACAATATAACAGTAAGAGCTAGGGATGAAAGGTTGAAAGATTACAGAAGGATACTCACATCAAATTGCAGATTTTGCAAGAACCCTTGACCTTGAGAGGAATCGGGATATTAGGAGGAAGAAAACACTGAAAAGTGAAAAGGATGAATGAAAGAAATAAAAAATGAGTTGCAGGTATTTATTTGACTGGACATTCCCATCTCATTTTCATGCGATAGGCAGACCCCCAACTTGTAACGCCTCCAAAAGGTGGTATTCATTCATATACAAGAATAGAAACTCCATTTTTTTAAACCAAATAAATCCATGTACAAGGGTGTTTGGCTTAGCGCAAAAGTCCTTTTTGTAAAAGGATTTTTTGTAGAAGGACTTTTTACAAAAGTTGTTTTTTAAAATGTGTTTGGATTAACTTTTGAAGAGAAAAAATCAAAAATTAAAGTGTTTGGTTTAATTTTTACATACAAAATGATTAAAAATGATATGGTTACATATTTATTAGGGGTGGATGGAGATATAAAAGTAATTTTAATGTTTAACACTGTTGAAAAATTGGAAAAATCATGATTTTGTGACTTTTCAAAAAGACAAAATTTACTCTATTGGAAAAATCATTTTCAAAAGTCCTTCTTATCTTTCCAAACATCTTTTTGACTTTTTCTAAAAGAAAAAGTCAAAAGTCATTTTAGAACTTAAACCAAACACGTTAGTAAACTAATGAAAGGGAATATGAACATCATAGAAGAAGACAAATCATTAATCTTATTTATCCTTTTTTTTTCAAAATTTAATAAAAAGTTATTTACATAGAAAGAAATTTTGTTTTTCTATAAAGAAAAAGATAAATGAGACCAATATCATTTATTATTTTTCAAATTTTAATAAAAATGATCAGTTTTACAAAATAGTCATGAATTTTGTTGGTGGTTATTGTAAAAAAAATTTACCATCATCATATGTGGCCTATTAAAATTGATTTAGTATTTAATAGGATGAGTCGAAAACATTTTCACATATTTGAGATTTTTGTAAATAACATTTGTAAAAATCTCTACTATAACAGATGCTAAGAAAAACAAAAGGTTTTGTACATGCAATGGATCTTGAAGTACTATTTATGCATCTTGCTGATCAAATCCGCCCATGTTAAGATTACTTGTCAACGATTGCTCAAATTTGATAGATTCGTCTTCTGAAACAAAAAGTTCTGGCCTCGGAGGGATAATATCAACCACTTGATGTGTTCCTTCAAGTTCGAAAGAATAGAGTTTTTCATATGTGATTTGTAAAAACCTAAAAAACAATTATTTTCTAACAAAAGCTCATAGTATCTAGTAATTCATATTGTAAAATCAAACATCCGTACTAGAAAAATCTAAAATACATATTGCGAAAATCTAACATTTGTACGATAAACTTAATTATCACTTTATAAGACCGATTTTGATAAAAAAAAATCAATACGACTTTCTCTCTCTAGTATTATTTTTCTTAAAAACATAATGACTTCAAAATTTTCAAGATGAGTATTTTGTTGCAATTTGTGTTAATGGTCAAGGTAGTCGAACAATGGTGAATGTATTTAGTTAGGTTTAACTCTTTTGTTAAAAACCATGGTATATAAATTCCATATGATATAAATTACAATGATTTATTAAATTTGGTCAAACCGAAGACAAGTTTGGAAGACATGCGTAATATCAATTTGTTTTTCCAACATTCTAAAAGAAGTATGTTACAAAGATATTCTACGAAAATGATGTGAAACATAAAAAAAAGGTTATTCAACAAGTTTCAGTTGTATATTTGTCTCTTGTAGATAATGCTTTGGTGGAAGAGACTTCGATTATTCACTACTATGCAACAAAGCGATTTAAGGAAAAGGCTCTTCTAAGAACCGATATAACAGAAAAGGTAGTAACAATCAAGAAACTTATAAGTAAATTGATGAATATGAAGTTGCTACATGTGACAATGTTGTTCCTAGAAATGACATTGACATTGTCAAACAAGAAGATACACATGTTTTAAAGATGATGTACATATTACAGAGTACTTTCATTGGTAGATGATATATATATATACACACACACACACACACACACTTACTTTTAGCGAGCAAGTAGAGTTTTGTATATAAACACAGTTTTTGAATTGAAATTTTCATTATCTTTAACCAAAATTGTAACATCCAATTGCTGGTTCATGGGATCGCGACGCGACGTGGTCGTTGGCTGTCATGGCATGGCCATATCGATTATATGAGGGTCGTAATTGTTTGGTACCCACGACACAATTGTTTTCTGCCTATATCGTGACAACCATCTCAGCTCAAAACACTAAGTTTGGGGCCACGAGCCTTATTTAAAGGATGTGACGGCTAGGGTTTCCTCAACCCTCATCCTCCATCATCCTCAGAGATCCTATGAAAACCATAGCCTCCTTTTTAGATTTTTAGCTCATTCTCACTTGGATTATACACCATTCAAGGAAAAAAGTGTGCATTAGAAGTAAGGAAGCAAAAAGCTAGCTAGTCTCAGCCCTTATAACATTCTCTAGACCATTGTAAGTCTTCACAATCTCTTTTTTGGTTCATTTGAATATTTATATCTAAGGTTTCATAACTTTTAACCCATTTTGACACTATGTTTTTGGAGTTGTGCAACCTCCAGAACTTCAGCTGAGCTATAAGAAATTCCCAGGCCCTTTAGTTTCAGAAAAATATATTTGGTTGTGTTTTTTATCAACTGTGCATTGAGTTTGGAGCCTTTTAGGATAAATCAAGTTAGGGTTAATGATTTTGAAAGAATTATGCATTTGAATGGATAAAATTGGAAACTTTATCATTAAATCACTAAGAAGAATAATATATGGATTTATTAGCCTTGATTTTTAAGTATTAAGTTCTTAATGAATTAAGCTTCTTCCAAAGGGACCGAAGTGGGACTAAGGGATAGCCACGATGTGGTGGCCTAGAGTACATGCAAATGTTTTTTGATGGCATGTATATGATGCGACCAACATCTGGGTCATAGCACGGTGAGAGTTGACTTTTGACTAGTTTGATTTTTTTTTTGTCAAATGTGATGGATTTAAGTCTTAGATTATGTTTAGAAGGGAATCAAACTTTTTAGCAATAGAGGGTGTGTAAGTAACTAAGGCTCTGTTAGAAAGGAAAGTTAAGTGTTGTACCTAAATTTCTAAATCAAGAATATATATGTACATATTGTGTAGTAGCTCGAAGGAGCTTCTATGCCACTTAGCTCTGTGTGTGCAAATGCCTTACAAGATATTTAGGCGAATTCTCATGAACTTACTTATTATATGGACTTTGTGTATATGTATGTCGACTGAAGATCAACCATATGAGGGAATCTAGTTGGATTTCAAGGATGCATGACCATGATAGACCTCTCAGAGGGAAGTGATCAATATTAGGTCACTAGAAGACAAACCTGTTGGACGAAATCTAGCTTATTGGGGTTGTGTATGCTAGCATGCTTTCATATGTTATGTGGTAGAATGTAAGTAATATGTGATTTATTACTTTAAGTTTATGTGTTATTATGTGTATCACACATATGATCTGTATAATGGGTGAGTGTTATGATTACTCACTAAGACTTAGGCTTACAGTTAGTACTTTTTATATTTAGTTACAGGTCCTTCAAGTTCAACGGGCAAGGAGCTGGCTTGACTAGGATATATGAACATTCTTGGAGGGGTATGACATCTAGTTTCTCAATTCTATGTTACGTTATGGTTTTCAAAACAAGACTTAACTTCCACATTTTACCCATGATTATGTTGAGATGACTAGAAAGGATGATTTTATGATTTAGTATTGATTATGAAATAAAACCTTTTGGTAAAAACTACACTCTCATTTTAAAAAATTTATGCTTGAATTTTTGGGATGTTACAAGTTGGTATTAGAGCAATCGTTTTGAGAGAATTAAACATACTCCTTAGTTTGATTAGAATCAAACCACTGTGGATTTTCAAAAAGATTTTTTTTTATAAACTAAACTAAGTAATGGGACAAGTTTTGAAAATATAAGTGTGAAATATGCTAGATACCTCGAAGAAGAGAATGCAGATCATCCAATCATCCGAGCTTAACGGTTAGTCAATACATATATGTGATATGGTAAATGATGATTTAGGCTATGAAACAGAAATGAAACAGAATCTTATGTCTTAATTGATGATTATATGAAAATGAGTACATGCTTATATGTTAAACTAATTTAATTCTACTTAGACATTTTGTAGTATGTTTGCCAAGATTATACATGCTAGTTGATAAATTAATGATCTTTCAGGGATTGTGTGTTAAAATTGATAAGTTTACTGTTGATTGTTTGGTGTTTCTTGAAATTTATATCAATATTAATTAAATGTTAAGCAAATGCACTAGGATTACATGCCTCTAGAATTAAATAGTCTTGGATTGCTTGGTTTAGCCTTATTGCCCAACTCTTGTTTGAGTACAACTCTTGTAGTGCATGATCTTTCAGTTCGATGACTGCTTAATTCTAGTAGCATGTAGTTAGTATTCGTAAGGTTGTTAATTGATATTGATTGAAGTTTCTTCCCCAGCAGGATGGCAAGATGAGGTGGGATTCCTAGTGACTAAGGAAAAGTGTTAGAATATGCTAGTGTGGGCATATACGTGAGAAAAATCCTAGAACAAAACTAAGAAGATTAGTGGTTTGTGCTCGTATGGGCACCTGTATATATAAATAGAACATTTGATTACAGTACTAAGTAGTGACTTGGAGACTTTGAGATAGTTCTTGGGACGGGTATAGATATGCTTGGAAGGTAGTATGGGCTGGTTGTGACATCCCCAAAATCTCGGCCAGAAAAGACCGATTTTCATTTATGCTTTTAAAATAATTTCAGAGTAAATCCTTTTGATTTGAAAGAGTTGCGGAATTTGTTCCCAAAAACAAAACATGATAAAACAATGTTTACCAAAGCATTTCATAAAAGAAATGTATTTTTCATTATATAATCAAAACTCGGGGTGTCATGTTCCGATATAGACCAATAAGCATAAACGATAACATTACAAGTCATTCAACAAATATATACATATACAGACTTGTAAACAAAACAACTTGATGGTTCATCCATCTTACGCCCTTGCGCCACTTCCTGTAATACAAATAAAACTGAGTGGGTCAGGCTTGGGAGCCTGGTGAGCATATAGGGTTTTCAACCCACAATAAATAATTAAATTAATTATTATCAACCA